CTCTCTCTCTCTCTCTGTGTGTGTGTGTGTGTGTGTGTGTGTGTGAAGAAGAAGAAGAGGAGGGAGGAGAAGGCTGATATGGAGGCCGGAATAAGCGAAGAAAAAGTAGTAGAAAAAGAAGACCTCTCTCTCTCTCTCTCTGTGTCGTAGCCAGGTACTAACCAGCCAAAGACGTCGTCTTAAGCTGTGCTGCTGGTGACTGAGGCACCCTGAAGGTGAGCTCCAGCTATGGCGCCGAAGGTAAGTCCCGAGGTGACTCTCTCCTCTCGCAGCACCTCCTCGCCTCCACCCTGCTGACCTCCCAACTCTACTATAGTGCAGCTGCTCCAGTGCTGCTCCAGCAGAATGGCCCCTTGACTCCCAGGATGCTGTGTCTGGAGTGGAAGCTGGCACAGCTGTATACAGCGGTGGGCCTACCGGATCCTACCTCGGCCTGTGACCTTGGCCATGCGATCAGACCTCTGATCTCCGGTCCAGGATGCAGGCCCAAGTTCTGGTCCTGAGTCCTGGCCTAAAAACGGCCTGCCTGGTCCCAACTGGACATCCAGGCTCCTCTGCTGCAACAGCAGAGGTGTCCTGACACAGGACAAACCAGGGTCTGGACCAAAATGTGGTTCAGCCCCAAACTGAGTGCGCCAGGCATGAAAAAGGGCCGCTGGACCTGAATCAAGCCAACTGGTCCAAACAACACTACTGTTCTGGACACAAACTGAAACAACACATCCAAACTGGACAAGCACTGGAACAGACAAAAATGAAATCAAAATAGATAATGAACTGAGAACAAACAAAAATGTGACTGAGAGAAACTGCAGATGACCCAGAAAAAAAGGAAAAGACCCCCAAACTCACACTCCACGACCCCTACCTCTCCCTGGCTTCTGGATGAACCAATGCCGGGCCCCTTCAGGGGCCATGCATACCACACTTTCACTCCCTCACTTTCTGACAGCGCATTATAGTTTTTTACTGTGATTTAAACTGAGTTTCAATAAATCTTTTGTTTTTCCTTCGGAAAAAAGAATTGGCATCCTTCCATGTGGAGCAGCTGATGAGAGAAGCTAAGCTGGCCTCTTTGGCTCTTACCAGTATACGTGGTAAGATATTTCTGCTTTGACCTTCTGGACCAATTGGGGGTACGCAGGCTGTTTAGAGTGGGGCAGGTGTGCTGAGTTGCTTGTACTGTTCACCTTTGCAAAACCCAACCACACTTGGGAAATCCTCTGAACTTCATGTCGGTGCAACGAGGCCTATACTTTCTCCTAACTCTCTCTCTCTCTCTCTCTCTCTCTCTCTCTCTCTCTCTCTCTCTCTCTCTCTCTCTCTC